GTAGCGCACGTGCGCATCGCGTCCCTCCCTCACAGCGTTAATTCGGCGGTTAAAGATTTCACTATGCCGTGGCGGAGTATGTGCGGGCGGTTTCATTATGGCCTTCCGGTACAACGAGCCACTTCAAAACGGCCTACTTGCTCGTTCACGACGGGACTCAGGTACCCGTACTTGCTCATTGAATTATTGCGCTTCCGTGGTTGCGCATACAGTTAGTGCACGGGATCAGTTTAGTTTGCAGCAAGCGAGCGTAACCATCGGGCAAAAGCTACGTGGCGGTAACGCGCTTTAATGTCGAGGGTTATAGGAAAGGGAGGAGTGGGAATTAAGATTGAGGTAGAATCGAATTGCGGAGTTCGCGCATGTCGGAAAAAGTTTTTATCGGGAAGAGGGAAAGTTACCCCCCTCCCTTGGATAAAACGGTGCCGCGGAAAATTATTTTCTTAAAGCTGACATACCGATTCATATAGGTACGTAATGACAGACAGTCAGCGCGCGAGAAGAATCTTATTGCGAGATGTGCCTGATACTCGAACTGAAAATCCGAAGGGGAAAAATACAATCTTGACGGAGCGAAGTGATCGAAAAACCGATGATTTTTGCATAAAAGAACTCGGGATTCAAGGGAACTCACAAATCATTTCACCTTTTCAAAAATCATGACTTTCCGAATCCTTCGTTCCTCAATAACCGTCGGAATAATCAATGCTCCGAACATAATCGCCCGCATTTCATGAAATATTTCCGTCATTGCAAACGCGAAGTCTGTGCCGTGGGTGTATAGCCGGTGGCGTTATCGATTCGTTATGTCCGGCATTGCATTCCGTTAAGTGTCTCATTCCGGTGACGCTCCCCTCGGGCTGCCAGCTCGTCAAATTGTCAATGACTGCCGCCGAAAGTGGGTCGCGCAGCTGTCGGATTTTCCCGGCTGCTGAAAATTCGCCAAGAAAGTCGCGGGTTTCTCTGTTCCGTGAATAATACAGAATCGACAGGAAGACACGAATGTACTCGGAATCGCGCAGCCGCTTCGGGTCACTCACCGCGTATAAATTCACCGGGACTCGCAGTCTCAGCACGATCGCGCGGAAAATTCGCTGAACGGACGTGTACTCGCTGCTCGGTAATCCTCCGTGCGCAATTTCATATCCCTCCATCTGAGATCGAGTAATGCACGCGTGATAACGTGAAATTATTCCGCACGACGAAACCGCGCTCTTTTGAATTGCAGAATTATTTTCCTAATCTCCGCGCGGGTGGTGGTGTGTATATAATTTTCTGGAAAAGAAAATTGCGCGAATGTTTGTGCTTCGTTGCACGATAATAAGGGTGGCAAATAAACGCGTAACATTGAACACGAGATGTTAAAATAATGATACGGCAAAACAGGAACCAGAGTTTTATTTACAACGTTCCACTATTCGAGATTGTAAAACGCACGCGAAATTATTCCAAGTTTCTTTATGGCGCGCGCGCGGTTTTTGTAACTGCTTTTTCTAATCTTCGCGAGAGGAAAATAATTATCTGTAATAAAATTAACATTTATTCTTTTCTCGCGAGTAAAATGTTAAACAGATGGAATTAAGATTAATAAATGCACGCATCGATGGGTAAGCGTGTATGTATATAGTGGATCGTATATTTCGTCAATGCGATAAAAAGAAATTAATATGCCCATAAAATGCATCCTGGTGCGTGAACGTGAGCGTAATAAAAAGTCCGAGTAAATACATATCAGCGCGCGGCAGGAGAGATTTTCGCGAATGAACCGGCGCGGGCGATGGTCAGAATGGACCGCAAAGCGTTATTGACGAGAGGGAAAGTAATGGAAAATTGATCGGGCTTGATGACAGTCGGGTGTGAACATAAACGATTCCCGGTCTGTCGCACAGTTATTATTTGATTTGGCCGCCGATTTATCGCAGATTAAAATGCGTGCACCAAATCGCGTAACGATTAAGTGCCGCGTATTTTTTTTAAGCATTTGTCACCGTTTCTCTCGTATACTTTGTGCATTCGAGAACGCGTTCGAAATTTATGATTTGCGTTCCCACTAATGCCCGCGATGTATTGAAAAAAAAATCAAATAATCGATCGATGCGGTGGAGCTTTTATTGTGTTACGCAAACTTTTTAGATAACCGTTATACTGCGCGCAAACATGTAACAAAAAATCTGTTGACACAAAGTGAACAAAAATCATGTTATATCGCGAAAACGAAGAAAATATTGATTTCACGTGCAGTGGAGAAATGTTTCGCGTTTTTTTTCCCTTCCCTCGTCGGAAAAAATGGCAAAATATTTGTCCGAAATTTCCGAATGGTATTTTGACGCGATCAACAAGGGCCATCGATTCCACTTTCGACGTGACCGTCTCCGATGAGAGATCGGCAAAAAAAAATACCGTAAAAATCGTCGCGTGCTCGACGCAACGCGCGCACCGGTACAAGCGATCCTTTAACGTATTATTGTTTAATCCGACCGCGCTCGAAATTGAATTACGTCGACCGAATGTATCGCGCGCGTGCCTACGTCCCGCGCCATTTCACAACGGCAGGAAGCTGAAAGCCAAACGATGCTGGGGCGACCGATGCGAGAAGCGAAAATCGACATTTGCGAATTGTCCGCTAATTGACCGCTCATTGGCATGGAAAATGAACGTTTCGAATGGTAATGAGGCACGTCACGCGCGTGAAAACGCGCGCGGGAAGCGAAAATTTTATTCGACAAAAATTGTTCGACTGGAAATCGCGAATCGCAGGTGACAAAAATCTTATCGAAAGATCGGCGCAATTTTTTTTTCTTTTTTTTTAAGTCGAAGAACAAGAAATCCGATTAATTCGTCGAATCGTCGGGCATCTCGGATATGCTTTAATGCTCGAGTACTCGAAACCTCACTACCATAGCCCATGCATTACCAGCCCTCTGTGGATTTGAACACCGTGCAGAGGAATCGCTGGAGAGTATCCGGCGCATCCGAGAAACCTTCTCGCATTTCAAATGGGATAACACGCCGCGTCGCCGTGGCGCGTTTCACGCGTAATTCCCTTGAAAAGTTAAACCGGGACATGTCCTGTGTGTGCTTATTATATATGCGGTGTACGGGTGCATCTGACACGCGAGATGCGCGCCGCCGGAGAACGTGTCTACGCGCGGCTATATGACAATTCGCGGCGCGGCCCGACCGACCGGGTGACATTTTCGCGTTTTCCGGGTCCTCGTGTCGTAATTAATTATCGGTTCGTCGCGACCAAAATAGACAGCCGCTCACTCGAGCGGAATTTCGCTCGTGCCCCCGGCCGACCGACGTGACGGCCGAGCGCGAATTCTGTCTTCGGCAGAAATTAGAAATCGACGTGTAATTCCGCGCCGTCGACGTCAGCCGGAGCTGACCGGTTCCGTGAGCGAGAGTTTTAAACATTCCATATATACATCCACCGACTACATATAAATAATCATAAAATATCCGACTATAGGAAAAAGCATTTAAATAATGATTTAGATTTAGAATTTAGAACTGGGAATTTTTCGCAACCGCGGGATTACTTTAAATTTCGAGTGTACGATGCTTATATTCCTTCAGCGGTGAAACAAGATCGTCGTTTGCCTTCTCATATTCGATATATAAACCTCGTCTGTACTTTACTATCACTGCAGCAGACTGCTGCGCAACCTGCGCAAAATATGATTTTATAGAGCTGTAAAACATCTGAAGGTATGCCTTACGATTGATACTCAAACATCTGCAAAGCTCGCACCTTTACAGTATACTACCCCATCGATACTGCTCTCTCCCCATACTCATATTTCGCATTCCACAGATTACGCGATTGCGTCCATCTTTTCGCGATCACGCGTCAGAGTCGATTTAATCGATACGGTTGCGGGACTTAAAAATTCCTGCATTGCACAGGCACTGCGCCCGGCACATTTTTTCTGTCTCTATCTCTTTTTTCTTTTGCATCGCGCTTTTGTCGAACCTCGACAGCAGCAATCGCGGGAATCTCTCGCGCAGACTGTGGAAATATGCGACATAGTGTATCGTACCGGCGTAATTAAACCCGGACAATCGCTAATTAGCGACGGGTTTATCGTGTCCGCGTTTCGGTGGAATCGTATATGACATAATCGTTGCCAAGTAATACGGTAACGACAATGTCTGACGACCCAGTCGCGCGCGTTTACGCGAAATTATGCCGGTACTTGCGGCCGTGTAACCGAGAGAAATTGTGCGGTAAATATTTGCGCGTCATATACGCGTGGCGAGTTTAATTGGCTGCTAGGCTGTTCAATAATAACAAGTTAACATCGGCGCATCATTCGCAGTATTAATATTAAAACTCGTTCAACACGGACCAGGTGTCCTCGATTCCGACGGTCGCTAATAGTCGCGTTGCGTCGCGATTATTGAAGAAACTTCATCAATTGTCAGTCTGACGAGTTTAAATCTCTTCCGTCTCAAAATTTCCTATTGAACATCATTTCGAGCGTTTCGAGCGAAATATGAAATCAACGCTGAATGATTAAACGCGTCCCGCCGAACGTTTCTCTCGATTATAAAGCCTGATACTTTTGTATATAGAACGATTTACATATCCTTCTAACTTGCAGGATGATCACGAAATGTTACATGATTTCATTAATTAACATTCTTGACGTAACGTTATTAAATATCCGAGCGTTGGAACGCGAAACGGCATTTTTTTCTGAGTTGGTTTATAAATGCATTGTGCGACATTCGTGTCATCCTGTAACATAAGTTCTTCCAGCACCCGATAGCACACGTTGGATCCATCGATCAACAGAAAGACACGATAAAGACTCTATCCACCCTCGTCCCCCTTTGCTCCAGCTCTCTCACAAGCAGACCACCCTCTCGGCAGGAAATTACATGCTTACAGTGTCTCTTACAGCGAACGACCTAATTACAAGTTTACCTTTTTTCTGTTTTCTGTTCGCTTCTTATGTTATGGACCGACCCTGGTTTCCGGTTTCTCTGTGCAGTCCTTCAAGGTAATTCGCCACCGCCTTTTTCTCTAGACTCTCCATTTCCGCCTTTATCTCTCTTTTTCGCTCTGAAACATTCATTCGGATCGCCGTCACGTCAATGTGTCACCATAATTGTACAGAACGGCTTTTGAAAGATCCGCGCATCTGACCTGTATATTCAATTTATCGTAATAAATCCTAAAATCGTATATATCCGCGCGTCAAAAATCCCTGAAAAAAGGTCGATTTGAAAAGAATAAATTTTCTAAAACATCCCGTGTATTAATTGAAATGTGAAAGACGTGGGTAAAGGAGAAATGAAAAGATATACGAACTGTATTTCAAGTCAGTTTCATATTTGTTACTTTGTGGTGATACATACATATACACATTACATACATCATCCACACGTTCACACACCACTCATTCGTTCTACTTCTCGATCTCTTTCGTTTTTCGCAATACATTCTATTCCTATTTTCTGCTTTTCTTCTATCACCCTTTTCGTTATCTGTCTCTTTCAATGTTTCTCTCTCTTTTTCTCTCTCCGTATATCCATGAGGATTTCATGTCTTTTTGAAAGTTTCGTTTTTTTCATGCCTCTTCTCGTGCGCCGCCATACCTTCTCGCTCATCGTCGTTATCTTCATTGCGTGCCGATGTCTGATCTTATTCGCGCGAAATGTTTTCGGGATCGATGTAACGAAGGAGGTATTTGACTCGCGATAGATGGAGAACGTTTACTCTTGGATCTTCGGATGCTGCTATCTTACCTCGTCGTATACGAAAAGCCATACTCGAAGAGGAAGATATCACGCTGAACTTTTTGCCGTGCCGCGTATCTCGCGGAAAAAAGGAGAGGAGTGTACCTTCGCGTTACATCGATCCACGTTTTTTCGCGAGCACACAACGTCGTCCATAAATGCGGACACCGGCGCGCATTACACGACGTCGCCAAGCTATGCAAACTGCGAACCACCGTGAGAGCTTAATGCGCATCTTTTCCGCGTCCGTCGTGCACCGTACGCGCAAGTAGAGCAGCACGGAGCGAGCGAAGAACGAGAGAGGTGGGCGCGTGTGCATGTGTATACGCGCTTATATGCGTCTCGCAAAGGATTCACGCGAGATTCACGAGAATGCGAGCGCAGAACGTTGAAAGGAAGAAAAGAGAGAGGAGAAAAAAGAAAAAAAGAAGAGAAGAAACGCACAACGAGCGCGCATACTCGTGTACACGCGCGCGCGCGCACTCGCGAGCGTAGAGCGGCCGCTGACTTTGCATTTTGTAGTCGGTGTTTTTTTTATGCGTCCTATTGCCTCTCTTTTTCAGCACCCTTTCTACCTACCTACCCAGCCCGCGCGCCCTCGGCCCACATACACCTCGCCCTTCCTCACGCTTGACGCGCCCGGTAAAAAAAGAGAACCGTGTATGTTTTGCCCTCCTTTTTTTTGCACGACAGCGCTATATGCCGGCCAGCCTGATTTTTGAGGCCCTTTTTCCCGGGACTGTTTACCCGCCGCTATTTACGATGCAAATCAAAGCGGGGCCCCCTTTCCTCTCTCTCATTTTTTTTTATGGCGCAACCCCGCGCCAGCCGATTAGCGATTCAGAAAATCAGATCGTTGAACCCTCGACTCCCGTGCATCCTAACGAGGCTCTCAGAAGTCTTTCCAGAAGAATTTGCTCCAAGAGCGGAGATCTTTAAAAACGTTGAGATCTTCGGTAGGTATTTAGACATCTGATGCATTTAGTTGTTGATTTTTTTTTAGATTTGCGATCGCTCTATTGGAAAAATTTCTAAAAAAGATTTGATTGAAATCGAAATCCTAAAATAATCTAAAGGGGTAAGATAAATTCAATATTGGAAAAGTATTTTTTAAAGTCTCTCTTCACACCATATTATCAAATCTTCTATATATACGCCGTGGTTCTCATAAATTTCCGCAGATTTTTTCAAAATTTATTTCCTACGGTTCGTCAATCTGTCAAGCGAATGAAATCGGAAGAGGTTTTTTATCATCTTGCCATAATCAACTCCAAAAATTTATTAGAGACACAATTTCATTTTATAGATAATTGATTATAAATATTTTATTATTTGTGGATTTTTCCGAATGTTCGTTTTTTCTGAAGATATAAGACTTCAATTTTGTCGATGAGCCAAGAATCGAATTTGACCGACTTCGCAATGCGGCAATTTGAAATTATGCGCGGACAATGTTCAATCGTGACCTTTTTACGTGCAGCTTGGTGAACTAATTACTTGGGTTAATGCTCGCGGGGCAGGTCACTCGTGTACGAGTTTTAGAACGTGAGTAAAATGCGACAGTAACGAGGACAAGCACGAGAATAACGTGGTTTTGATAGGCGCTTCTCAACGATCTCTAATTGAGATAAAGCATATTTATGTTATCGTTTATTGGACAGAATGTCGTAAAAGGTTGCGCAATTTCCGAAAGAATCATACATACTAAAAGTCGATCTAAAAAAATTTCGCGATTTCGAGGCGTTATTAAAATATTTGATGAGTTAATTGAAGATAAGATAAAAATGTGTGGGACGTATTAAATTTTAATCTTTGAACAATTGCAATTGTTTTGATAATTGTTTTAATCCCATGGCTTAATTATTAACATATTTGATATTGAAAATTAAACACTGAGTAAATGTATTCGATAAAATTTTCATCATGGAGATATCGATCGCACGTTTGTCAATTTAATATAATTAGAAAAAAAATGCGCGTTGCTTATACGATATCCCGTATAAAATGAATATTATGGCCGTTTTATTTCAGTAATCTGACATTTTTGTTACAACACCAAGCACGAACGTTGGGTAACGCGTTCGATATTATAATTATGCTATAAATAGTTTATCTCTCAGAGAAGAATTTTCTTCCGGATGCGTACAGTTAACTGATAAATTATGGACATCGCGTACAATCGATCGCGGTGCTCTCGCGGACGATTACCCCGAAGTGTACCAGAACCAACCCTTAACCGATCCCCGACCAAAGATCCAAGGAAGGAAAATCACGCCTCGCACTCGATTGCACTCGCACGCTGCGAGCCTCGCAGAGAGAACGATTTAGTCTCGTCGTAGAAACGCATGCCTGATAGACTGTTATGTGTATGCGTACGCGCGTTAATGAGAACATAGTCTGGATGCATAAATAAACGTACACACATGGACACACACGCGTACCACCCAGACACACGTACATACGCGACATGGAACGTGCATGTCAATAATTCTCGTCGTGTCGATAGAGTCTTAATCCTCCATTGGATTGAATAGTTGCAGAAAAGAAAAAGAAAATCGAATAGACGTTACGAAGGTGAAATTGTTGATTCAGATGAGGCTTTGCCCTTGTCGAAGACGATCCCGCCAAACGGATTCGCAGAATCCAATGATGCCCGGAGTCACTGGGAGAGACCGCGGATACTCCGGTATTCGCGTTCCCGTGTTTCGAGATTTCTCAAGTTTCCCCCCCGCGCAGCGTTTCGGAGAGCTGAGTGATTGTCTGCCACCCGAAACAAGGATCCTTCTGGATTCATTACTCAGCGCGGTCGTTCGCCATTTACAATCCAAAGGAAAGGAAGCCCGAGTTCCGACGCGCCGCGCGAAGAAGAAAACGGGAAGTCTCGGGGAAATGAAATATGCCGCGACGAAAAAAAGTCCGCGGAAAGCTCTCCCCGTTTCTCTCTCTGTCCCTCCTTCGCGCGAGCTTGCTGGGGAAAGCGCGGCGAGGACGAGGCTCGCTCGCTCGCGCCAAACAAGCGTCGTAAATTTCAACGTCCCGCCTCGAGAGAATCGTACCTCATCGAGAGGAGGGAAGCCGCGCTGCCTTCTTGCAACCCGCGTGTCGACAGTGGCTTTATCTCGGAAGAAAGGCGTCCGGTCGAAGAAAGTTCGCGAGAGCGAGTTCCGGGGCGTTCTTCTCCGGTGCCGTTGCCGTTCTCGGCGACGGAAACGGAATCGCGCGGTGATATCTGCCCGGACTTTTTAAATATCGCGGACAATAGTTCGCGGGATTATTCGCGCTTCGACACCGCGCGACCGCGTTCCCCGTACAAAACGTAAAAAAAAAGAGTCACGCAGCTCGTATTAAAATCGAATGAGTGGATATTTTATTTTCAATCGTCGGTTCCGATTCGGTGAGAGGGAGAGATCCACCGTAGCGCGACTTCCAAAATTGGAATTTATACGAACGGTAGCGCAATTAAATCGGTATGCTTGTTAAACAGAATAAACGCGTCGCGTTTTGGTGACATAAATGCTCAAACAATCGGCCCGTGTCATTAATAACTTTATTCGCGATCAATCACATAGCCAATCTAGAGCTCGCGGTCGTTTTTATCGCGGATGCGTGTCACCCGTGTCGCCCGGAACAATGTACACGGACACTAATGACGTGTTAATAATCTGGGAAACGCAAGCGCTGACATAAACGTATCCGCGGGCTTTAAAGGGGCTATTTTTATCGTAGGAAAAGCCGACAAGGCGTGACGCATTAGTCACTTCCGATATTAAAACGCCGTATAAATCGCTGAATCCTCGTTTTATCGAACGCAGAGCTATTATCCTTCATTATTTAACAGCCATTTGCTTGCTGTCTTAAATATCATTCGCGCGTCACAGATCTAAACGTATCAAAACTTGATAGAAAAAAATACATTCTAACACATAAGAGCTATATCGTTATCTCTTTCTCTCGGCAGTAAAAGAGTTTATACGAGTTGCGTGACTTTCGATCACGTTATCCCTTCGATCTGGGAGATGCACCTTTACGATGGTCAAAATAGAAATTACTTCGAAACTTTCCGTTCGCGATAAAACGACCAGAAAGTTCCAGGGAGAATCGCGACGCAGGAACGAAACGTCGTAAAACACGCGTCGCGACGCCGCTCGGGGGACGCGCACGGCGCGGGCCTCGTCGACGTTACGAGATGTAACTCGAGTGTATTTCGCGGATATAACTGGGACTATCAAGCCATAATACAGTCATTCGGCTGACTAGTAAAGAGTCACGCGGCCGACGAAGAGCAGTTCGGGCCGGCTTTTACGAGACCCTTAAAAGTTAACTTAAACGCTCGTCCGGCGCCTCTATCCGTGACTCCGTGTGCGGTACGTAAATTTTCGGCCAGACGTTACGGCGTTACGACGTTACACCGACAAGGTTTGACAAGCGACGTCGCGAACGGGCGAGCGAGCGAGCGAGCGATTGGATCTCCGTAGCCCGTAAATCGATGTAACCGCCAAAACCGCTGACCCCCGGGCGTGTCTAATAATGTACGAAGGCTACCGTGATATATCGAGTTCGGATTTCTAACGCGAGATCGAGTGGGATTTAGGGAGGGATCTCCTCCGTCCGGCGTTGCGGCGACGATAAAGGATTTACGAGTGGAATTTCGTTCCCCGCGGTTGTAATGGCTTTCCTGATGAAGATTGAATTCGGCTCCCTCCCGCGCTTTTCGGAACCTCTCTGAACGCCGGGCTTTCCTCCTCTCTTTTTTCACAATCGATAAGATCGGCAAGGATTATCGTTTATAGACGCCTCTTTATTTGTGTGGACAAATACGAGTGTATTTTTCGGACCGGTGTTACCAGAGTTAAATGGAGGTTAAAGGGGAACGACGGGAATTCTCTCGGAAACCGGGATGGGGTTTATATAGTCAGCATTCTCATGTTCTGACTGATGACTTTGGAAACAGCTCGCTCGTACGAATTACCTAGCTGCCGCCTGGGGAATGCACCTTATCTCTCAAGGAAGATTGATATAGCGAGCACGCGAACGCACTCGAGAGCCAATCGCATGCACACGATTATTACTACGCAATAGTCATAACACGATTGTATATTACGTATAAAGCTAAATCTCTCCACGTGACGTATTCCGTGTTCGCGACTAGTGTGATATTCATTTCGCTGAGACTGTCATTCTTCAGCGTTGCTGTGCTTTGTAAATAGCCACGATTTTCACATAGAGTCACAGCGAGATGTCGAAGCGTTTTCGCGAGCTGATCGCATCACGGCCCCTCAGTGGCAACGGGGAGGGTTGCTCCGTCGAGGGTATCTCTCGCGCAACGCTCTCGTCGCCTGAGAAGTTAGCGTGCTTCGGATGTGCTGTAAACAAATTTCACTTTCGAAGTGTATTATCCGACACTACGCGCGCATCGCTCGTATAACGACGCTAAGAGCAGTTTTATCAGTTGTACGTCGGGTAACGACAACGCGCGCTTTACGACGAGGCGCGACCGGATGGAGATCTTTCTCGTGAAAGATCGGCGTTTAGCGACAGTATTATACGCACTGCACGTTGCACCGCTATTTGTTAGTCCTGTGCTGATTGTTGATCCCATGGATGCCGCATGCCGTCGAGAACGAGAGCGTATACACGCGACGTGTACACACGTCGATCAAGTTTCGCGTCATCTCCCTGTCGGGAGGTATCGAAGGATTTATTACCGCGCCAAGAGCGGGGAGCGCGAAAATTCAAGAGTTATACGATACGTGGTGATCGAACGTGTGGATAGTACAATCCAAGCGTCTAGCGCGAGATTTCTAAAAATGTAATCGACGGGATTCTTAGCGATCTAAGGATCCCGTCGAAGATCCGAGGACGCAGGAGTCTCCAAAAAAGTTTAGAAGAGTTCAGAATCCGCGGAGATACAAAAGCTTCGCGTGGGGGGGAGGGGAGGAAGGCGGGAGATCTTTCGCCGTTATTTATAGACAGATTACTTCGCCTCGGTTACTTCGTCGCATGCGATACTGAAGATTTATAAGCGTAGCGGGGCGAAACTTGCTTCGGCGTGTGTATGCGTGTGTGTGCGCGTGTAAAGGTATATAACTTAGGGAAGCCGCGTTTCCCATGATTCTCACAGATCATGATACGGACCCACGCGACATTCACATAAAGGCATAGCCACGATCTCACGTGACATATTTTATCAGCGCATTCGATCATAAACGCTGTTATCATTCATCTTCCTTTTTGAATCACCTCATCACCTAATCTATCCGCTGTATATCCGTTATTACAGGATGCCCCGCGAGAGAGACGCGTATATTGGCCGTGGGAGAGTATTATCTTTTCCCGTGCAACTTTTCGTCCATTTTTCTTTAGCGGGAGAGCATAATCTCGGACTTAATTTCCCGAGCTCTTCGGGAAAATGAAAATTAAAGAGCGCTCGCGGTAAGCGCTCTTGAATTAAATTCTTGCTAAAGAAAAGTCGACGCTAAATTCTTTGAGAAAACAACTCTCGCCGCTCGTATACGTCTCCCTTAGGGCACCCGCAATTACAATTAATGCATAGTCTAGAGAATTAAATGCAGGATCTCGGGATTTTCGGGAATCCGGTGAGGGGACGTTCGGACTCTGCGCGGTCCTCAAGTCCCCGGGTCATCAGATCCGTCCGATAATCCCGAACGATCGACTTGGTTTGCGAAGATATTTATTGGATAGCTGTAGCCCCCCTCTGTCTCTTTCGTGGAGTCGATCGAAAGAGATGTCAATTGCAAACGGAGCGTCTTGATAGAAATCCTCGGCGGTGCCATAGATCACAATTAGCCCCCCCCCCCTCGCGCGAGCCGCGGGCGAGAAACGAAATTTTCCGCGACGCGAAATGCGCAAAGCTCGCGGCGTCGTCGTCTTGCCATTACTCACGATGATATCGTGGCGTTGTACAGCGATACCGTCGTTTTCATGCGAAATGACGTTTATCGTAATTGCCCGTCCGGGCGGGCATTGAACGCACTAAATTTCCGCGCGCGCGCTGGCGTTTCTCTATTAATTACCTCCTGATAATCTCGACTTGTAATTTACAATACGCCGGAGGACCCTCCATCGAAAAATCGCGCTGTCGCGTTCACGACGCGGGCGCGACGCGACGCGACGGGGCCAATTCGACCGCGGAATGAATCCGCCCGATTAATCGCAGTTGCAAATGACTGATCGTCGTGATCAGTGACTAATTAAGCCTGCGCGGCTCGCCGTAGCGCGGACGAAATAACTCGCTCTTTCTACGGTCGTTCGATCAATTTACAAGCAATATTAATACCCGAATATCGACGATAGCGGAGGAAAAAAGGAAAATCAAAATAGCGGGAGCGCGATCAATCTTTTCCGCTGACGAGGGGGGAGGACGTGTGCACCTCAAAACGGCGTCACGTCTTCGGGAGAAACGAGCGAAAGACCGGAGGATCGATTTCTCTTCCGGAGTCGCGTGAGGAGCCGCGCGCGTGATCCCTCTGTACCGTCGAACGAACCGTTTTTTTTTTTTTATTCCTTTTTTTTCTTGAAACAATTGTGTACATGTGTTTACTTACCTTTATATTGACTCAATGATGTTATTCTGTGGTGCTTTGCATGTCTCTATTGGACTCTGCATGTCGTATAGGGCATCGTAAGTACTTACTAAAATGAACTCGTCATGAGACCTAAAATACACACGACACTTTTTCAGACTTCCAAATCTCGTCGCCGGAGGACGGGCGAATCCGCGGATCCGTTCGATCCCCCGATCGGACGCATTCGGAATCCTCGAATGCCGGGGTGTTGTACCTCCGGGATCCCTGGATTCGCGGATCGTTCGGTCCCTGGATGTTTCCCCGAGGCCGAAGATCTCCCGAAACTTCGAATTCTCGGATTTCGGGAACGCTAGGTCTCTCGGTCCTTGGATTCGGACGATCGGGAGATCGAGAATCCTTGGGTTCTGACATTCGGGAATAGCCGATGTGGATCGTTTGATCCTTAAATACTTATAGATCCTTATACACAAGTAGTAGAATCTACGAGCGAATCTATGCTATTTATATTGAAAATGCGATCGAGGAATCTCGTTCCGCTGATCCGTTCTAAAAAAAAAAAAAAAAAGGAAAATACGAGTCCAAGAAATAAATTCAATATAACCGCGACGAAACTAGGAATAAATGAAAGAAAATAAAACAATAACGAGTAACGAAGTAGGACATGTCTAATCAAAATAATTTCGTTAACAGAAGATGATCAGTAATTCAAATTTTTTAAAATTATTAAAGAGGATACTGCATGCATTCTCTGGATTCCAATCGTAATTTATTGAATCCACTGAAGCCACTGAACTACTTAAGTCTCCAAAATTCTCGAAATAATTAAGGATTCGCAACGAACATCGACAATCTCAGCTACTCGAGACGGTATACTGTTCCGAGATATATTTTTGCTCCGGAGCGAAAGTTCGCCAACATGTATATACAACTTCTTGGTTCGATGCTCTGAATACAAAAGAACGGAGTCGGCGAGAGGAAAAAAAATAGAGGAACGAGCCTTCGCCGATCGATACGATTTCAAGTTGCGGAAAAGAATTCTTCTTTCCGCCACACGGGCGAGCCTTGTCGCGCACATTTTCGCCCTTACATTTTTATTAATTTATCCCGGCATAGGAAACCTTAGCAGTAGCCACGTATCGTTATTAAACTCGTCCTTCTCGTTCGTTCGGATAGACAACTCGGCTAACGACCGCCGATCAACTTCTATTACGATTTTGCCTCACTTCCCGTATACCTCTCTCTGCCTCTTATCTATCGATCAATTTCATGTCTCTTTTCTGGTTCTTTGTCAATATTTTTCTCTCTCAACGCCTTCAGATGCCTAGTTAATCCCCCTTTTCGTTACCTCCTAGCTTCCCCATCGGCCTCAAGCCTCGAACCTGCAAAAGAGAGATTAACGAGGGACGAGTAAAAAGAACGAAAGGAAGAGTGGAGGAAAGGGGGTTGAAATAAATAAGCGGCGAGGAGTAGGAGGGGATAGAACGGGAAAGAGAGAGAGAGAGAGATTCGTGCCACAAGGGAAATGCCGACGGCGTTTGGCGGACATGGGAAAGGGGGAGAAATGACTTCCGCGGATTTTTCCCGCTCGAAAGCCGATGTTGTTCTAACCCGGGGGTGCATAAATTCTACCCTTTTAGTAATATTACCCGACCGGTACGAGAATCGTGTAATTTTGCACTCGCGTACGTGCCGAGAGAGACGTAACGATCGGAGAGTCGAGAATTTCTCGAGGAAAACATACATTTTCAAATATTTTCCTTTAACGTTACTTCACTTCTTGATTTCGGCATTGTAATCAACATTCGCTCCTTTATATCAACAAAGTAGTTACACGCGCTCTCCTGTTCTTAGGTACAGAAGCAAAAAACTGGGAAAGAACTATTTCTCTCTTGCGTCGTTCGCGTAAATCAGGAAACGCCCGAAGGTGATTTTCCGGCACGATGATCGGATTTCCTGTTGTACTCTCTCTCTCTCTCTATTGTTTTCCCGATTTCCCCCTGCTATTCATCTCGCGCCGAAAGTTCCTCTCCCCTTTCTCCTCCTCTTTTCCAGTCATTCTCTCTCATTAAGCTCGTCTATGGACACCGAGAACCACGTCGAAGCTGCAGGCTCGTGAATAGCTTAACTGCCGCCTCGTTAATTACCTTCCCGGTTTTTTTCCCACCCACGGTGTAATACGATCCGACAGGAGTTGTACGAGGTGTCCGTTTTAACTTTTGTGTTACTCCCCTCGGCCTCGCGAAATTTTTAACATCTCGCAGTTTCTTTACGATATCTCGTAAAGCGTGCCTTTTTCACCCGAGAAAGACCCGTAAGACCTTTCGTGCTTCTCTCACCGAGATCTTTAAGGAGAAAAATCTATCTCTTAACCATTCCTTGTCGGGTTACATGTCTGAATTTTTCATTTCTTCCAAAATGTCTCGCATAAGTCACGTGTTTCGTCAGAAAATGCACGATCTCCAGTTGAGATTTATCAAAAGAACCACGCATATACTTTAGAACAAGTACTTGCCAAGTTACAACCCATTTACGATTTACCTCTACTGCCCTAAAATATTTTTTAAACTTGTCTTAAATTTGCGGTCTTGTCATATTGTGCAAGAAAGAAGAGGCAAATTATATTAATAATTTCCGATGGCAACTCTTTTCGAATATGACACTTTGACATTTCTGAAGAAGAAAACTTTTTTATTTTTTAAAAGAGCTGATGTCTCATCATGATTCCGATATAGACATGTCGTACTTCAACATTACGGGATATTTTCAGCTTCTTATACGGTATCATCGGAAAATTGCGAGATACGAGTTAATATTCCAATAAGTTTTGCTCGCTTATTTTTTCGATGGAATTCCAAATCCCTTATCAAAATTTATAGCTCGTTATTTTTCCTTGAGTCTCCATTCTGCAACCAAATTCCTTCGAACCTATGTTTTTATTTCTTTGAGTTGTACTACAATTAAATTTCCAAAATTTGATCGTGCCGCATGATCTTCCTGCAGTTTCCATACAGGAAGCGCGATTGACATTTTCGGGCAATTCGGACGAAGAAGAAATTATGTGGGTCACGTAATGTTGCCGCTTCCGTGAACCACTAACGGTCACGTCCCAGTCACGCTTTCTTTTCCCTTACCACCTTGTGTCTTTCTCCCCGTAAGTAATTCATTCCGTCTCTTCCTCGCGGCGTGAGAGTTGCACGGAGTTTCAAGTTCGTTACGTCGATCTAATTGCGAGACGGTTTCTGTCTCGCGGCCAACCCTCTGAATTTCAAGTATTTTTCATTTTAAGCGATCCCTCGAGGAGATCTCTTGGCGCCCTATACCGGCGCAATCGTCGCCTCTCACAAAGGATTTTATTTTTCGGGATTACGTGGCTTTCACGCCTCCTCGTTTTCTATTAGACACCATTCACGAGCGCGCGGACGACTCGGTATAATCGGTTCTGTAAGCTTTCGTTTGAGCAGGAATTCCAGCTGGATTCAAATACGCCTCGCCGTGAATAACGGACGATTAAATGTACGAAAAACAAGGATGCGATAAGACTGTCCGAGAAACACGACGAAAAGTCGAGAGCTTCGTGAACTCCGCGCCGCACGTTGACCTGTTTCTTCCAACCGTCCAACTTCTCCCCGAATCCTCTACAACTTTTCTTATTTTTCCTCGCTTTCCAATGTTTTTCTCCCGAGAGTAAATTGACGTCCAGAGAGAGATTCGGCGAGGTTCATGTAAAATTCCGTTACGCCTTAATCTGCGAGATGGTGCCTCTTCCTCTTTGATTAACGTGTAATGGAACATTAATGACTTCGAGCCGAAATTGGACGCCATCGACCTCTTTCGACCCCTCTCGTAAGTAATCTCTGATGTCGTCTTTTACGTTTCTCCCTATTTTTTTCTCTTTCTCTCTCTCTTTCTCTCTCCTTTTTTCTCTCGCTTTTCCCCATTTGCGTCTCATTTTTTTTCCTCGACATGGCTCCTCGTAAAACCGAGGCGCGGCGAGTAATGCGTAACCGATCGACAGAAATCTCTTCTCTCCATGTAGGAAAAGGAGGACGGACCGGTGTACAAGTTTTACGAAACCATCCGCGATTTCGGGGACGATATCATGTCCTCCATCAATCACCTGACTGACGTTACCCTCTTCGCGCCCAGCAATGACGCGTTGGATGAGCCGGGCGTAAAGCAGATGCTGCAGGACAAGAAACGCATCAAGGAAATCCTCAAGCTTCACTACGTCAAGGAACGGTTAACCCTCGAGAAGATCAAGGACAAGAGTGTCAGCCAGGTAAGTCCATTTCTTTCTTTTCATGCAAAATTAAATTATACAATAAAATTGATACAAAACTGTATAATTAACTGACTACAAATCAGGCCTCTATCTTCGAAGCGCTTATGTCTTATAACATTGTATCTGAAATATTAACTTTGCTTATCTTCAGTCATACTTTTGAGAGCCCTAAGTACATATTTTTAGTTATCTAACAATAAGTACATGGTCATGATAACATGTAAGACTCATCTCATATCGCAGTCTTGCTTGCAAATTTGTTTCAACATAGATAACAGACATCGCTTTATTTTAATAGAGGCTTCTTCGCGTATTCTCATAGCCAGAGGCTCGACATCGATATATAATCACACACACGTATGGAGGTATATATTATCACATTGATTAACCCAGCCTTTTTCTTTTTGTTTTTCCAAAGAAATCATTCGGCGGGAAGCCGTCGCACGTCGGGGTAATTACAGATTCATACAGCTTTCAGTGTTCTCTCCTGGTTTTTTTTTCCTATTTTTTTTTTTTTTGCGTAAACTGTTCGCAAACTCTCTATCTGCATCCATTCGCACTGTCCGCTTTCACGCGTTTCTCGATGTTGAACGTATTACGAGCGCGAAACGAATGCGGGCTAACATTTTCAACACTAACACGCCGGCGCCAGGGCATTCGGCAATCGATAGCGTCAATAAATCTCACCCCGCCAATAGCTTCGGTAATCGAACGCCAAAGAGATTTCTATTCTTGCCGCCGATACACGGTGTACGAGGTGGCCGGGAAGTCACAGTGAAATTTAGCGAGCGAGAATTAACTGACGCGTCACCGCTTGACGAGGACCTATTTTTTTTTCTCCCCTTCAATTCCCTCAAATCCTATATCACTCGGTATATCACGGCGAAACGGGCTACTGGAACGTCGCGGATTACCTTTCGACGAGAGAGGGGCTGACTTTCCGTCTCACCCCGTATACCGGGAAACGCACGACCCGAATGAAATTGCGGAGAGGTTCGACAGTCCGCGGAATGGATTTCTGCCGTTTCGTCGATAATAGGATGTAACGATAATTGCGTATTTTTGCGAGAGGAGCCGAGTTTTAACCCCCCCTCCCCCCTTCCTTCTCGGGCGACAGCGGGGGACGAACGAAAGCGAATTCACCTGGTCGGTCGCGATAAGGAAACTCGGCTTCCTCGGATTAAGTGGATTGGAAGATAAAAAAGTTCCGCGCGGGCGGGTGGTTGAGACGCCTGACGTCATAACAACGCGCCGGGGCTGTTCCGCTCTTAAACTTTGCTCAAAGTCGACCGGCACGCCGCCGGTTCGTTTTCGCACTTTTCGAGGCTCATTATCATCCAATCAGCATGGCGAAACTTTTCGTCGGAATAACAAAAAGCTCTCGGCAATTTTCCGCCGCGGCTTCTGCATTTCCACCGTCCATATCTTTTCACCCCTCCGGCATTTTTCCCCTCGCATTTGGCTACGTTTATTTTTACGGAGTTCGAGAACGTCTTCGCCGACGACGAAATTGCGAATTGCGATCGCCGCGAATATCCCCCTTCATTCCAGGCGTTTATATATTTGAGACGATCACACGGCTCAACCGGACGATCGAACGTTTGTTTTTTTTTTTTTTATTCTATTGATCTCGTAATTACTTCGACATCTCGGATCTTTCGACCAGCTTGTCATCGTTCTTATTCGCACCGACGTTCTATAGATAAAATGGCACGTGCAACGTCGTTACTCGTTACTCGCATTATCAATCATACGCGTCGCAGAGCGTTTTCCGCGCGCGCCGAATGGGTCTCGTTAGCGCACGCGAGAACTCAATTACACTGGAGAGAACCGGCAAATACCGGTAATCGCGATGCGCCGGCAAAATCAACAAAGAGACGTGTAATCGCTCATGCTGCGTAGGTCTTTGTTTGACACGCACGGTTTGTTATATTAATCTTATCGTTATATTAGAGCGAACATCGATTGCCGGCGTTCGCGCGTAATATCTGGCGTAAAGAGACGCGCGTGACACCTCGATCTGCTTCCTGCGACGCGTGCGAATCGCACGAGAGAGAGAGAGAGCGAGAAAACTGAAGGACGTCGGATAATTCTCGCGCAAAACCGATAAATTTCTTCCTGCAAACGCCCTCGTATGGTTCCGGACGAGTTTATTGGCTTTGCAACATTGTTCGCAGATTTGCCCGTTATCTGTACGCACTGTCGAATTTATAGGGTGCCGTCCGGTGCGACGCGTCTCTCCCAAATCCGCGGTGAAAAATCATACCCGGCTGATTGCGCCTCGCGGGTTCGCGGAAAAAAGGGTGCGCGAAATCAAAGCGCGGGGGAGAATCGCGCACGAATCGCATCACGCGAATGTTCGGTCGGAAAATACGCCAACATGGTATCGCGATGGAAAACTCTCTCGACCAGTATCGCTTTACAGTTTTTCAAACAAACGAATATGGGGTCGGAATCGAATAAAATAATCCACGCCGCTAATATTCATACGCGATACTACAAAAGAGGAAGGTCAATTTTGACTAAAGCGGCTTCCAATGTCCGATCAAAATTTTTTCCTTTTCAAAAATTGTCGGCGAGTTAATCAACGAATATCTGTATCGCTGAAATTTAATCCGGGCGCCTGATGTTTTTCGCATCAATGGTCACCTGGAATGATTTTTACATCCTAATTAAAAGTTATTGTTATTAATTACATATTGCATATTTTTAATTGTTCTATAATTTACTAATATTTGAGGACAATGTGTACGTAGATTAATTCAACATTTTCTGAGAAAAAAATAAGGAGAAACCAAAAAAATATTAAAAAATGAAAGAAGCACATTAAAATTGCTGTGACGCGAGTTTCAGTTTTTCGATAATGGGGTGTGAAAATCAGGCGCCATTCCCGGCGCCTTTTAATTAATTGAGTCGCAGCTTCGTCAATAAAGAATTCTATTCAAGACGTTATACGTAACAAATTTTCTTCTCCAGAGAACGTTACCGTTATTTCTCAAAGATTCTCCGAATTCTCGCTGTGCTTTTACCGTTGTCATAAATAGGGAATCGGGTCATAAACCAGAATAACCGAGTATTACCTTTTTATTTCACGAAGCTCGTGCGCTCTGCAAGCGTCTGGAAACAGGGTAGCATCTAATATCCTGCGGGAAAACTCGTGGAAGCTGCGAAAGAAATGTAAAGCAGCATTGCGCCCTGTGCTTTCCAGCGCTTCCTTTCCGGCGGCGTCTTCGCTTTCCCGTCGCCGCGTCGCGGTACATGTCTCCGCGAGTTATCTATGGTATCCGTGGCTCGAGCTCGCGCGTTTTCGATAATAATATATATTATTTTCGAAACTCCTGCGCCGCGCTGCTCACGGTTTAAGTTTCCGGAACTTCCGCATCCAGATGGTCCAGAAATCGATTTCGGTGCACGAAGTTCTCGGCGACGCGGCCGAGAGGATATTCCTTTTCGGAAGCGTTTCCCGGCCGGTCGCGCTCGGCGAAGGCAATCTAATTCGTTTCTCTCCGTTGCCGAGCTTCAAATAACAATGAATATTAATGAGTCGCGTTCGCGAAGCACGAATCGGCGAAACAAAGTTCGCAAAGGCGTTCGCGCGGACCCGCGGGTTTCGCGGGGAAAACGTCCGTGACAGAAACTCTCCGAATTATTTGACGATCTTTCGGAGAGGCGGTAGACAGAATAAAATAAAACCAGGTCTCTCGCGTTAAAATCGACGAGGGAAAAACGTTGCGGAACGTTTCCCTGCCAAATAGCGCGATACCCCATCATTGGATCGATCGCGGCCTCGTGTTCGCGGATATCGAGATCCCTCTCCGTTGGAGAGTGCGTCGATGAATGGCCGCGCGGAACGAGCATTTTCAGCGCGGTAACGCGCCCGCATTAATTTTCCAGTTGGATCGAATTCGTGGGAAAGCACCGGTGACTTACGAGCTCGACGATGGTCGGATTCGAGAAAGAGAGAGGAAAAGTGAGTGAGTAGGTGAGTGAGAGAGAGAGAAAGAGAGAGGGTGTCGGTACGCGGTAAAATTAATAATTACAACGGCGGCTACAAATCTAGCGCGTTCCAACTCATTCGATATCTCGATCGCGCCGCGCTGCGCCGTATACCGTCCGCAATGTCGACTCCCCGAGCCATGAACGCAATTACGCGAAATCTCCGATACAGCTAATTACACTTCAATATCCATTGAGCCGCTTCAATCATTCAGCCAATACGGGATGTTGGCTTTAATTACTCCGTCCGCTCGTTAATAAATTAAAACGTTCAATCAGTATAAATAAACATTCGGGTGCATAGGGGTGGCAGTGGAGAATATGTTGTAAAACGTGGCGCGGTAGTTTCACGATCGTTGGTTCGTTCGTCTCAGGATGGTTGAAAAATCCATGCGTCCCGCGATCAGATTCTAAATCTCATCATGGAATCCGCGGGAAAATGAGAAACGGCGAAGCGATGCGATTTAATACTGTTGCGGCAGCGACGGCGCGACAGGAGGGTCGAGGCGACGTTATTAATTAATTTGCGAATGGATTATCATAAAAGCGGCCGCGCGGGCGCGCGAGCCCAACGAACAGGTGCGCTAATGCCGATTCGCTAATTGCTGGTAGTTATACCGGGGCGCATCGATCGGCAATATCGCCGTTATTTATTGCGCCGCACGCACTGCACGGACGTGTGCGTACCAATATTGACTCGGTCGGGCCTCATGCACTACGCAACGGTGTATATATTAATCATGGTAAACAAAGGGCAAATCGCTCTTAATCGGAAACAACGCGGCGGGTACCTGTGCGGCGTGACATTTTCGCATGGCCGCCGCCGCGTGACCGCCCGGCGTTAATTAGGACGTTGCAAAATCTTCCCTTCGCCAGCGAACTCGACCCCGGGATTCATCCAAACTCCCCTCTACGACGTGAAAACAATTTAAAGCCACAAAAATGTACGTTGCGTTCAAGTTTCTGTGCCAAGAATCGAAGGATATAGTTCTTTTCACTCCCGACAAGACCAATTTGCATTAAGCCGCGCCAGTCGGGGCCGACAGGGAAAATAATTAATAACTCCCGTCCGAGAGTACGATAAGCCAGCAACCCCCACGGAAAAATATGCTCCGCATCAACGCACGCACGCACGCACGCACGCACGATGCCTTTCGCGCGCCACGCCAGACACACGCATATTTCTCTCGAAATGCTGTCTTTCTTTTTTCCCTCCTTTTTCTCTTTTTTTTTATCCGGTCCGATTTGCATTAAGCACCGCACGCACCCGCGCACTAATTTATCGTCGAGATAGGTTTTACAACGCTTTCATATATTGCCTCGTGCCACCGCGCGCGCGCAAGAGCCTCGGAAGAGTCACTCGTACGCTGATGAAATGATAAAGCACTCCCGGCAGAGAAGGCGCCGCGAAACGTGTCGGGCCGGGCCGCGACGTAAAATTCAATTTTATTCGCGATATCGTCGCGAAAGTACGTATACTTCTCTCTGTGCCTGTCCGTCCTCGCGTCCCATTCGTTTTACGTTCATATTTTAGGCATGTGTTATTTAAAGTTCATCGGATCAGAACATTTTCTCTCTCGCTTTTTCTCTCTCCCTCGGTTAAGCGAGATCTGTAACTTTACCTGGATTATCGGTTTAAATAAGCGGTTTAAACCGTTTTAGAATCGTTACTTAAAATATTATTGTAGGGGAGTCTGATCTCTTTAGATTTTTCAGATTTTCTCGGATATTCCCGGGAATTATAAATATCTGCTTTCTCTTGAATTCCTGACATAGTTGAGTAACTTAATTACGCGAGTAGTACGGTTAAATCAGATCTCCTGATAAGTCTGACTTGCGAATATGATTCCCCGATATTGATAAAATATAGATACATATAAATTTCGCGTGGATTTCAGAATGAGTTCAGAAAAAAGGATAGATAAAATCAATTTCAATCTCCCTCATCGCGCTCGCTTTTCTTTTTTTCCGCTTTAATTTATTTCGTTACGACCTACACATTCGTAATTAATTTATTCGACGCCGTTTCCGCGCGCAAATAAAAGTCCGTAGTTTTACGCGCGGCTAATTGATAAAAGCGAGCGTCGAAAGGTCGAACGACCGCGGATAAGAAATTAATTGCTTAGGCGTATTCAGAAGTGGCTGGGCGCTTATCAAGAACGATCGCATGAGTGCTTAAAAGTTCCCTTCTTACACTTCGATAAGATTGAAAGGCGTCTCACCTTAAAGCGGAAAGCAGCTTAAAATCGCTTAAATCGATCATGGTACACTGCAAAACATTTTATTTATTCATGGGATATTTGTGTCAAAACGGCGAGGCAAATTTATAAATGAAATTTTAATGCATGTTACATTTGTGCTGCCATGGAATCATAATAAGCCGACAGAATTTTGAATTCAAAATAACATGATATTTATTGCCTTGGTAATATTTTCGTCGAAATCTATCGTTCTCAGAAATTCTCCAACGATCGCTTCCAATCTAAATGCAGTAATGCTAGTTTGTAAAGGACTCAACGTCGCACAACTCGCAGGATTTGAAGATGTTCCCTCCAAGACCCCTTGTTTCCAGACAGTAGTACTCCGATTCCCAGGCTCGCTTTGTTATTTTTTAAAAATGTGCTAGCGATTGCGTATACTTTTGAAACATCCCGTACACAGTTTCTCGGCCTCTCAACGGTGGATCTCAGGCGCGGATGAACGTCAGGAAAGTAACCGGAAGTGGCTCTGAGTGCACGCCGGGAAATTCATGAGAGCTGGATCAGCCGGAAAAGGGATCGTTGCCTCTTGGCGCTCTCTCCATACCGAGCTTTTCCATTCCGACATCAACGACTGAGGAGAACGAATGAGACGAGAAAGAAAGAGACGAGGCAAAGGCCGTGACGGCGACGGGCGGGGGGAGGGGGGGGGGACAAGGCAGGTCGAAAGAGAGGGTGTCGATTTGCAACCCGGACGATATTTGCAAGTTAAAGACTCGCACTGCCGGGCTGAAGCACGACGTACGCCGCATCGTCCGGATAATCCGGCGGATCGAAAGGATACGTTTCGCCTCGCCATTACCACCCCGGGATCCTGTCGCGCGGCTGTCTTTTAAGATCAAATTTCGCGTTCGCCCGAGAAAGCGTCTCGCGTACTCGGAAGGAAGTGCTCCGGGACGTTCCGTGCCCCCGCCCCGCGATCGCGCGATTTTCGTCCGGAGATTGTCACGCTGATGGCTCCCCTTTGACATCATAATTGCGATATAATAAACACGTTTACTCTCACAAAGCGCGGGCCGTATCATTTTTCATTCTCGTGAGCCTGAAAGGCGGAGCCCTCCGGTTCGACGGGCCGCGGTCTTCATCTTCCGACGATTACGGCAAATCATTCCGTCGAACGAAGATATAATCAAAAATAATGCGGCAATAAACGCGAAACCGTATACAACCGTTTAAGGCTCGCTGATCTTTTCAGAATTTCCTCCCGCCGATATTTATTAGCGTGTCCCCGTTGTGTTCGTGATCGCGTGCACGTAACTTCGTATGAAAACATACCTCTAACTGCTTGGGCGTCTCGAATTTCCCGTCTTCGTGCCACATCCATGTACGGAGAAACGGAAACGCGCATAATTTTTAATTCCCGTCTCCTCTCCGACTGTGAATCTAACTGTGTGCGCTGTGTGATGGCTCCTGTTTGTGCACGAAATCGACTTGTGTGCCAATTCTACGAAGGCGTTATATAGTCTCTCTCGAACAGTTTCTACGCTCGAATCTCACGTGAGCTGTGGCTCACCTCTCACTAATTGTATAAAATGTCTCTTTTTTAATTTTATCAAGATTACGAATTAAATCTGTCTGATCCACTTGACGCGGATTATTCATTAAGACAGCCCGATTCGAGTGGTGAGAATCACGCGCCTTCGAAGAATCGACCCGTTCGCTGTGCATCATCTTTTCTGTGTGCATCTTCTTTGTGTGCGAAGAATCACGTCTCTTTTACCTGTTCTCTCTTTGTCTTGCTCTTCGGCGCAGTTTCGATGTGTGACGTAATCCTTGAAGCGTCGCGAACGTTTTCTTGACGGAGTTCCGCTCGGATTCTTGCAGGTGCCGACCGCCGCCGATAAGAAGAAGCTCTACTTCAACGTGGTGCAGGGACCGAGGGAGAATCAGACCGTCACCGTGGAGGGCGGCGGCGTGAACGCCACCATCATCACCCCCAACATCGCCGCCACCAACGGGATTATCCATATAATCGACAGGGTTCTCGGGGTGCCCTACACCACCGTCCTCGACAAACTCAGGACCGATCCGATGCTCAAGTGAGTCCCCGTACCTTCTTCTTCATCTTTATTCATCTTTATGCAAAAGCGACGCGGATCATCGACTCTCTTGGTTTTATGAGAGAGATCTCGAGCGTCGCGCGCTAGTTTTGCATTAAAAAAAAAAAAAGAAATACGGGAAACGGACGGGGAGCGTAAAAAAAACATTCATTACGCGATAGAGTCAACTTGTAATTCCGTATAATTTCACGTTTTCCTTGTATTTAAATCTTTAATTTTACGTACGTCCCAGAGTAATGTGAACAGGAATTATGTAAATCGTTGCGCCACGCGCGCCGAGGCGCCGGGAATTTCCACTCCATTTCGTATTCCCTCCTTCCGTAGGCACGAAATACAGGGTATACTCTGATTTTCTATTCGCGCGACGAAATGATATACCGGGGACGATTTATTTCTCGCAAGAAATGTATCTCTATCTCGGTATAATTGCGGGGGGAAGACAGGGCTCTTGTCCTTAGATACACGTGGGCGCGGTCACGCGAACACGTGCGAGCCTCCACCCACGTGTAGATACGATCTTCGGAAGACGCACCATCACCACCACGCCTTATCCATTCCCAAAAGAGAATCTTATCCGCGCGCGTGACCCCGACGCGACGCGAACCTTTCTTCCGCACGATTCGCCCACCTTCCCCCTACGCTCGTCGCCCTTTTCTCCCCCTCTCGCCCTCGCGTTCGAATTTAATTAAAATAACGCAACAAATCCCCATTCCAATTACCGCGGACCCCGTCGACCCCGCTCGGGCTGCCGTCGACGTAAAAAACTATAACCGTGGAGTGTGTCTTACGCCCGGAATTGCATAGTTCCGCAGGGCACCACGTCGTACCTATTAAATTCGTAGCCGGTCGCGCTCCCCGCGCGCGCGCGCGCACCGATATTGCCTCCTTGTCTAATTTAACGGTCGGCACTCGTAGCGCAAAAAGCAAATAAACTCACTCGGCGAGATTACCCGGCTGGAACATATACCGGGTTCGTCGTCGTATTCTCGACTGTCCCGTTTAACTCCGATCGTCGTCCTAGAATCCGAAGGATTATAGGAGAACCCCGAGATTTGCGAACTTCCGGAAACGATTAGTCCGAGGAATCAAGGTATCAGAATCGTTGGCGCATCGATACCGAAAGTAGATTCTAAAATCTGCTAAGAAATCCAAAAAATTGCGCGTTTTAAAGCATTTGTAAATCAATGATCTCAAAAATTCATCACGGATCATAGCCGATGATTAATAGATCTATTGCAATGATTTCTGGAATCTGAAGCTCCGCCTATTTAGATCCTAGGGTCTACGAGGGTCCGAAATGTAACAACGGACCGAGGTTTTTACGGTGAAAGATTGTTTATGTACGCTAATCCACATAACCGACCAACAATCGTGCCCCGTCATATCGTCGGCAGCTTTCCGCGCGAAGAAAGCTGTGGATTATCTCCTGATTTAAAATTATAATTGATAACCCGGTGGACGGGGTGCGCGGGGAGTTCTCTCCAGGTAGACAGAGACTCGACGAGAGATACGACGAGCGGGGTCGGCGGCTTTATAAAGAGCGGAGAGATCAACCCCCATAGTGGAGAGCGGATTAAATCCCGTAAGAGGTAGCGCGAAAGGTGAGAGCCCCGGGGGAACCGGGGATAGAGTAAACATCGCGTTTGTTACCACGGTCTATACTCTCACAATCCTCTGCCGCTGAAAAATTTCCGCGCGGTGCTTAACTCGCGCACCTCCGATTCAATTAAAACGATTTAAGCAACGCGGATGAGGCATTATGAGGCGTTATTTATAATCTCCATCCTGCAAAACTGTTTTCGGCATTTCATCAGCGTTTTATCGAAATTGATCGGCAATACATCTCTCTCTCTTTATATCTTTTTCAGCTCGACCTACTTGCTGGGCCAACGACGCGGATTCAACGATCAGCTGAACGACACGACGAAACGGTTCACGTACTTCGCCCCGCTCGACTACGCCTGGAAAGAGGCGTCGAATAACTATCCGTCGACCACCAAGAAGCTCTTCATGCCCGAGTACAGTTATCACGTGAGTGAACTTCTCAAATGCGTATCTTCAACTTTTATATCCGAGCTTATTCTCATTCAAAACCGCGCGACCCTTAATCTTCTTGTCTTGTTGGATCTTTAAATTTTAAAATGGTCGTATACCTTTTCACTTTCGAATTCTCGAGATGATTTGAAATTTATATTTCTATTATTTTCTGAGATACGCGAAAACGCGCGAGGAGTTGGCTGTGTACGGGGAAGACCTCGATGCGCGTCCAACTGTAAAAGTGTATATAATTCGTTTGCAGACGAAGCAGATATTGGAGCGGCATCTCGTAATAGCGGACCAGGCGTTCACGATGGCGAAGCTGAGAGAGATCAGCAACGACACCCTCTTTCTCCCAGCGGCCAGGGACATTCTGAAGCTACGCGTTAAGGAGTACGGCGAAAGTGAGTAGACGAGTTTCAAAGCGGCACGTTTACCGCGCAGATATCTTAACGTCACCTGAGGGTGTCTTGCGAAAGTTTCATTCTGAGACGCGGAAGACGGCGCGGGTGTCTCGCATTCACGCGGGTGTAATCTATACGCGCGAATTCGGGGTACACACGTTAGAGAAGCATATAGGGACAACTTTCCCCGTCGACACGTACCCTCGCTCAAACATTAGCAAAAGCGATAGCTCCGGCTATCCCGTCTCCGTGTCTTGCGACGCGCTCGCGACTCGTTCTCGCGAGCGGGACGCGGAACCGTGTCGCGCGGCGGAGGCGCCGTGTGCCCCCGCGCCTGTCATCGACACTCTCAAACCTGGTGCTGTCTGATTACATGTAGCTGAGAAGCACGACGAAAACGCAATCCGTCCAGAAGTATCCGGTGAGTGAGCTAAGTGTTGTTTAAACGTCGCCGACGAGCGGCAACACGAGCGCTTTCACTTTGTACCAGCAGCACAGTTACTAATTGCGAAATTACGGACAGAGTGCACCCTTCTTACGCACCGCGTTTACGCACTCGCGCGTACATGTCGTGTGCCACGATGTCTGTGCGCGCGAGAGGACGAAACTCGTGCGTAACTCCCGCTCCAGCGAAGTTCGTTTCCTAATTGTTCGAATCTGTGCATAGGCCACTGCGATGCGCGAATTGCGTAAAATACGCGCTCTTCGGGGATTCGTGACGATCTCGGAATCCTCGTATCCTCGATTTTCAAGCTCGATAATTTCATGTAGAATCGAGAGTTTCGATCAAAAATGTTATACCGAGGAGAGAGAACATCCGCGCAAAAGAGTATGAAAGAGGGGACTCGGCATCCCGAGAGCCGATGGATTCCGAAAATCTCAAACTGAATCCTGGTATCTTTAGATCCTTGGGTGCAACGCGATTCTGATTTGTTTTTCTGTACGATCGTACGCCGAGCTTATGCGCTTATACGCTGACGCTTATACGCTGACGCATACGAAGGATCTAGCGTAGGGGGAAAAAAGGCGAATGTCCCTTCGCGAACGAAACGAACTTCGCTCGGCGCGAGAGACCTGGCGTAGATCTCGTTCGCACGAGAGATTAGCGACAAGCCGTCGATGCTTCGTTTAATTATTTTGTATTATTTGGGATATTGCATCGCAGTTGAATTGTACATTGCATTCTGTACGTCACGGACGATTCTCAAACTGTGTATAATCCCGTGCGACTCTTTTGTGTTTTGGGGATTTCTCCCACTCGTTACCTCCGCTACGCTTTGAAAGCCTCTTTCTCGCAGCACCACGATCGAACTCGCTGTTAAATAATACAAGAGACGTCGTCGCGCGCACAATGGGCCGGCCCCGGAAAACCAAGATCGTCCGAGACCGATTTTCACGATCAATTAGAACCGGGACTCTCGATCCTGCGGGACGCATTCGCGCCGCAATTTTCGTTATAGTCGCAGGTGGGATCCCAAGGGAGCTTAGCGCGGGGTTCAAAAGTCACTGAATCGAGATAAAAAGAAGACGATGAGGTAGAAAGGCAGAGAGACAGAGAGAGAGAGAGAACGAGAGCGTGAGAAAGAGGAAGGGCAGGGGGAGAGAAAGCGACAACGCGGAGAGAGCGAAGCGCGCGCGGGTACGCGAGAAACAAAAGCGTATTAATTGCGGCGAGGGCAACAATACTCATTGTGAACGGCGGAATTAATTACGACGAGCAGAACGCTCATTGTTGCGCGTAAATTAATTGCGACAACAGCGGCAATAGGATATCATTACCTTTGTCGTGGCGAAAACGAGGAGCTGCCGCCCCCTCGCCCCTTTCCCCCCCCCCTCCCCCGGTTTCGCGATTACTATTTATCGTTTACGCCACGCGAGACAACCCTCGTGCGCGTGAACGTGCTCGCGCGACACGTGGAATAAGAACGAGGAACTTCGAGGAACCGGAGAAACGTGCGGATGCTGAGTCTCACGGAGGAGAGACATCCGGTAGCGAGAATATAATAAGTTATACGCGATCCGAGAGACACGTCAGCTGTTCAATAAAAGAGAAAATGATATCGCGATCACTTAGACTGCACGAAGATATTAAACCCTTAATGTCCGACCGCATTACGTTAAGCCGTCGAAAGTCGAAAGCCAGCCGGCCCGCCATCGTGTTAACATTAAAGCGATAGTAATTTGTTATTGCGGGGGTCGATACTAATTACTTTCCTGGCGGTTTGTAGTTCGTACGTGCGTGTTGTTTCAACAAATTCGCCTACGGGAGAAACAAATTGACATCCGCAAATATTGATGAAGTCCACCGGGTAACTGAAACGATTTTAACCACGTGAAAAAGTATTTATAATAATATTTCGCTTGATTTAAATTGGAAATTCTGTATTCAGGTTAACGACTAACGATATCGACTGGACCTCGGTCTCGGGCTATTCTGGTACGTATTTTTCGCGCAAGTGCGACGCAAATAAACCACTCGAAAGGACTTCGTTTCCGTATACGGGCTGCCGCGAGATGCAACGGAGCTCTCTTCCGTCGCGCCGCGCAAAGTCCAGGAAATTCTCGAGCGGATGCAGCGCAAACCCCCCCCGTAAATAGTGTCCCTTTTACGTTCCAGCGTCCCGACGCGCCGAAGTATGATGAATATCTGGTCACCGTGTGGCACCGGGATTTTCCGCGTTATCGAAAACGAGACCTCGCCGGTGACTCGTCCGCCGTTTCGTGAAAAATATGTCGCCCCTCGAACGCCTCTCGAACGCCGCGGAAGCCGGAAACGAACGCGCGCGCCATTATGTGCCGGAACCGCAGGGCGATTTATTATGCACCTTTCGACCACCATTTAAATGCAAATTCCTTGATTACCCCCGGCGCTAATTGCTACGTGCCCGCCCGGTTATTCGCTCTCGCCTATGAGCAAATTTCCGAGGCGTTTTCCCAGCTCGCGAATGCCGCTCTAACCGCTTTTACAATCCTGCGGAGGTGCCCGAGAAAGATCACAGGCGAGAAAAAGATTGAGTTCGGTAGACCCCCTCCCCTCCTTCGTTAAACGAGGCGAAGAGCGTGGAAAGTGGTGTTGGAAGAGCCAATAAAAAAGTATTACTTCTGCACTCGCTGAGATACAGTAACGATAATATGCAAAATGGAAACTTTATTTGCGATTTTAAGAACGCCGTTTGTGTCTCTCATTAGATACTGTCGCTGGTCGCTGAATTTAGTTCACGTGGAACGTTGTTAGAAAATCGATTCTTTAATTTTCCATTTCATTTTTAACCCGGGAATCGGCGCCTCAGGTGATTTTTACACCCCAGTATTGGAAAAACGAAGCTCATGTCACAGTAATTTTAATGTGCTCCTTTCATTTTTAAATATTTTTTTAGTTCTTCACTTATTTCTCAGAAAATACTAAGTAAATCTATATACGTATTACATATATTGTCCTCAAATACTAATAAATTATGGAACAATCAAAAATATGCGATATGTAATTAATATAACAATGATTTTTAATCGGAATGTAAAAATCAGGCGCCCGTTCCCGGGTTAATAATCCACCGACTTTTCTTTTTAGCATCTCACGACGTTTTATTTTAGGATCTCTAGACATTCTCTCATCATCGAATTTTTCGAGATTTGGCCGATCGCCGAGAGAGAAAGAGAGAGAGCTTTGCATTCTTGTATTCGCAGTGCCGCTTCATTTACGCATCACGCGGTTTCTCACCCACGGTCCACGTCCAAAGATCATCATCAAGTCTTTCTCTTTCCAGGCTACACACTGGAGTGGGAGGGCAAGAGGATCCGCGTAGTCCGTCCGGACGTCGAGTGCACCAACGGCATCATCCACGTGATCAGCGCCGTGTTCCTCAAGGACAGCGACGTCCGGGTGACGGGCGGCGCGTCACTGGCCACCCTCGCGCCCCACCTAATCATGATCCTGATAGCCAAGTGGCACCTGTAAAAACCCTCATCGCGTCGCATCGTCTCGCATCTGCGGCAGATGCGTCTATAGGAATTTCTCCTTGGGGTCCCGTCTCCGATCGTCCTCGAGCGGCGGCGACG